GCATTTTAACTCTTATCTTGTGAACTATTGACATTTTTAAAGATATAAACTCACTCCAACATTACACTCATCGAGACCTTTCATTTGAGTACCCACATCAATTTTTCATATATTTATATATATATATGTATATATGAAAAATATATCAAAATGCATGTGGGTACTCAAATGAAAGCTCTTGATGAGTATAGCATCAGGATGAGCTTATATCTTTAAAAACATCAATATTTAAGAAAGTACAGTGCAATTTAAAAAAATTCATTATTTAATAAAGCAAAGTTTTATTTATAGTTCACAAGTCACGGCAGTCACATAGTGACTGCAAGGTTGCTAGTATTTTCTAATACTTTATGTTTACTCACTTGATTTAGTATAAAATTTTTTCTCATCGTATTTAAAATAATTTTAAATTTTACAGAAAAACAGTTAGAAAATTTAGAGTATAAAATTAAATTTTATTACTCAAGTTTATTGGTCAATAATTCTTAAAAAGATTCTTCTTATGGGTTGTCAATCTGGTTCTGGAATAAAAAATTATTTAACTTGTTTTAAATGATTAAAAATTCAATAAATTAATGCATAAATATTTATTTTAAAAAGTCTAAAATTTATTGTAAATATAAAAAAAAAATATTATTATTATTATTATACTTTCTGTATGCATTTACTCAAATAATTTGCATGTTTAAAAAAAAAAAACTCTGAAAGAGAAACTCTCAAATATTTACTCGGTCTTTTTATATTTAAATATTTAAAAAGTGAAAATTTAAATTAGTAAAACTTCAATATAATATATATGATAATTCTAAAAATAATACCAGGAAAATTTTGTTTGCCGTTCGGAAGTTATTTGACTTTATAATAAAGTTTATAGAAAAAATATAAAATAAAAATAAAATTCCGATTCTCCGAGAAAAATACGTAGGATAAAGCTATAGAACTATATTTAATGGTCATAAAAATGTTTATCTTATTCTCAAGTATTTTTTTTTTCTCGAATCTTGCTTACGCATCTGTGAAAATCACTAGACCCGAAAGTTTCAATTTTATCCAGGATGTTGATGTTGAATATTTTCATTATAAAACTCAAGATATATTTAATATTAATATTACTAATATTAATATTAATGTTTGTAATAATAAGTTAATTAATTGATAATATTATTTATGATTTCAGCGAAGATGAAACATCTTTGGCCGTTGGTGGTGTACATAATATTATCAATATGTCCCGTAAGTATAAATAATGTAAATTATTATTATTATTTTTTTTAATTCATAAATTATTAAATAAATTTTATTAAATTTATTTCAGGCCGACTCCGTGAGAGGAGTTGGACGAGGACCAAAAAGAGAAGTATTTTTTCTAAATTTAGAAGACGGTTACTTCGGCTGTCAAGTAAACGCCTCGACAGATGTACTCCAATTATTGGAACTCTCGAGACTTTGCGATGGAAAAAACGATTGTTACGAAGGGGCCGACGAAGCTCGACAAATACTCAAATGTTCAGGTAAGACTCCTTATTTTTTCTTTATAAATTAATTTTATTAAACATTATCATTCATAATCATGTATGAAGACAACACTTGCTCAAGCTAAAAGAAGAAAACTTTAAATTAAATAAAATCTTTCAAGATTTATAATTCCAACAATTGAATATAAAAAATTTACTTAGTCTTTTATTATAATTTACAAGAGGTTATGGGCCCAGGCTTTCCTATTTGGATTTTTGTTCCTGCTGAAAAGATTTAAGATTAGATTTTTTTTTCGCTATTGTAATTAGGTTCTGTAGTTTGCACGTGATTTTTTTAGAGGATATCAATTATAAAGTACTATTAAAATTTCATTTGGCTTACAGGTTATGGGCCTTGACAATTTCAGAGTTAAAATTGAAAGTTTTCGGTAAAATATAAGAGATACGGAAAAATTGATTAGAATAACCTTTTGTCGTAGCGAATTAAATTTTCTATAAAAAAGTATTTTAATTATTTGTATAAAAACGCCCTCGGCAATTTATCAATATGTTACACTTTCATATGTAGAATGTTTAGTAATAATGATTTTATATAATACATAGCATTTGTAAAGAGAAGATAAATTAAAAAAATTTTTTTAAATTTGAAAGAAAAGAAAAACAAAATTTTAGTAATTGATAATTGATAGAATATAATATATAATATAATCTGATAGTTTATATTCACTATTTGTAAACCTGGAATGTTATTATTTTAGAATCACCCTTTTTGCTTTACTTTTTATTTTATCTGCTGGTCCTCCAAAAATGTATCATGTTTTTTTCATATCTTCAATTTTTAATCCAAAATTTTGGGTTTAAATTTTAACTATCATCATTTTTACTATAAAAAGTTATGTTTGACGTTTCCTCTTTAATATTGGATCAAATATGGGAAATACCAAAGGTTATGGGCCTAGACTTTCCTATAACAATTATTAAACATACATTTTTCGTAGATTACCCCCATGACAAAAAAATATAAAAAATATATATTTCGAAATATATAAAAAATATATAAATATATAAAAAATATATTTTTAATAACTAATTTTTCGGCCGATTTAATATATATTTTAAATATATTCAAATTTTTTATATTTTTAGCTAGGTATTTTTTATGCATTTTAAAATATATTTTGAATATATCTAAAATATTATTTTATATATTATATATCTAAAATATATTTTTTATATATTGATATATTTTTCATATATTTCGATTTATATTTTTTTTTTATGGGGGTAGATTTGTAATAGATATCCTTGAATTTTTAATTTTTTAGTTTCTACTAAGATTTAAGATTAGATTTTTTTTTTCGTAATTTTACTTAGATTCTACAGTTAACTATACGTGATTTTTTTAAGAAAATGTCAATTGTACAGTACAGATAAATAAATTTAAATTAAACTTTTAAAATTACGTTTGACCTACAGGTTATGGGCCGGGACAGTTTCATAGTTAAGATTGAAAATTTTGGGTAAAATACAAGAGAAACGGAAAAATTAATTGGAACCTTTTTCGTAGCGAATTAAATTTTCTCTTAAAAAAGTAATCTGATATTTTTTTCATATCTTCAATTTTTAATTCAAAATTTTGATTTTAAATTTTAATTATTATTTTGACTATAAAAAGTTGTATTTGACGTTTGATCTTAAATATTGTTTAAAATATCAGAGATGTAGAAAAATTGATAAGAACCTTTTTTCTAAAAAATTAAATTTTCTATAAGAAAATATTCTAATGTTTTTTCCATATCTTCAATTTATTATCCAAAATTTTAATTATTATTTTAATTAGAAAAATTTATATTTGTCGTTTCATCTTAAATATTGAATAAAATATGAGAGATACAAAAGGTTATGGGCCCAGACTTTCCTATAAAAATTATTGAACATACATCTAAATTTTTTGTCCCTATCAATGAAAAGAATAAAAACTGGATTTCTGACCTTCTTTTACAAGCTTTTCTTGTTATTATTCATCAAGTATTGTGAAGACATCTAGACATCTGGATGCAGTCCGCAACTAAATTCTTCGAAGCCATAAGTATTTCCTATTACAACTGAATAAATTTTTCCAATGACCAAATTCGTCTGAAATTATGGAAGATGTTTCTTGATATTCCAACTTCTTAGATTACATTAGTACATACCTATCAGGATGATAAGTGGAAGATAATGATGATGATACCCATCCCATGAGCCATCAGCATCAGATTTTCCAATGTATCTAGGGAATTGATTTGGTAGCTTGACCCATCGGAGCACGATTGTCGTGATTGCCCAGAGTAACATTACGCCGGTCATGAGAACGTCATAAACTCTGTAAAAAATGAGTGTAGTTAGATTCCAAGTAGTTGTCAGAATAACTAGAAAGAAATATTGCTAAAACGATTTATTTTTTATAGAAGAAGATATAGTAAAATAAAAATAGCAGAGACGCGTTGATTTCCTACCTGTAAGTTCTCAGGTATTCTGTAATTCAGTAATTCAGTAATTCTTATTCTGCAAGTCGTACCCATGTACTCATGTTGGTAGTCTTCCGCGTGGGCAAAGGCGTTACCGTTATGATCCGACGCTCGTCACGCAGTTTGTAATCGTCCAGTCACGCACACATCTCTTAGCTCATGAAACAACTTCATTCCTCTTCACGTCAAGGGTTTACTTGATTCTTTTATTCTAAAAAATAACAACATAGTTTTGCTGAAGAAATTTATCATCTTCATAGCATTAAAAAAAATATATATTACATGCTTCTGTATTATTAAGAGAATAAGCATAATTTAGTGGCAAGTTAATTTATATGATAAAATGGGTTTTTATGGAAAAATTTGGTATCATTGGAAAAGTCTTGACTTGAATTTACGCCTTTTCATATCATTCTCACCAATAGTCAATTTATGATGATAAGCATTTAGGTTGCTTTCAAAAATACTCTCTCTAGATAGATAATTGAAAAAAATGACCTTGTATCTTGTGAGCTATTGACATTTTTAAAGATATAAACTCATCCCGATGTTACACTCATCGAGACCTTTCATTTGAGTACCCACATCAATTTTTCATATATTTTATATATTTATATATTTCACAAATATATACCATATATATAATATATATACAAATATCATATATATAAAATATATAGAAAATGCCATGTGGGTACTCAAATAAAAGGTCTCGATGAGTGTAACATCAAAATGAGCTTACATCTTTAAAAATATCAATAATTAAGAAATGACATTGTATCTCGACAATTATTGATATTTTTAAAGATATAAGTTCACATCGACATTACACTCATCGAGACCTTTCATTTGAGTACCCACATCAATTTTTCATATATTTTATATATTTATATATTTCACAAATACCATATATATAAAATATATAGAAAATGCCATGTAGGTACTCAAATAAAAGGTCTCATTGAGTGTAACGTCGAAATGAGCTTATATCTTTAAAAATATCAATAATTAATATATGACCCTGTATTTCGTGAAGTATTGACATTTTTAGAGATATAAGCTCATCTTAGTGTTACACTCATCAAGACCTTTCATTTGAATACCTACATCAATTTTTCATATATTTCATATATTTATATATATTATATATATGAAAAATATATCAAAAATGCATGTGGGTACTTAAATGAAAGCTCTTGATAAGTGTAACATCAGGATGAGCTTATATTTTTAAAATATATATTATATATATGTATATATCAAAAATATATCAAAAATGCATGTGGGTACTCAAATGAAAGCTCTTGATTAGTGTAACATCGGAATGAGCTTATATCTTAAAAAAATGTCAATAGTAAAAAAAATACAGTGCTATTTAACAAAAATCATTATTTAATAAAGCACAATTTTATAGCTAAATATTAAAATATAAAATAAATAAATTTACCTAATTTAATTTCAGATGATTGTACTAAAGAGGACGGTACAAAATGTCAGAACGGAGTTTGCCTTGACTCAGTTTGTCATTGCAATGACGGTTTCGGCGGATGTAATTGTCAAGTGCCAGGTAATAATAATTCTCTTCCTTATTACTATTACTTTAGCTATTTTTATTATTTTATACCACAACAAGACCTATACGCTGACTTAGACCGATGAGCACTTAGAATCCGTTGTGGAGGATCGTAAAATAGTATATAGCTGTTAGATTGAGACTTGGACTTGAAATTCCAGTTGTTAAATCCTACCATCAATCTAAATGCTGACTGTCTTATCGGACATGTTTTAAATAACTAAATAACAGCAATTCCGGTTCCCCATTTATTTAATGTCCATCCAGTCTGTAAAATAAAAAATAAAAAATAAAAAACTTATTACAGATGAGAACGAGTGTAAATACAGGCCCTGTGATATTTTTGCTCACTGTACGAATACTCTAGGTGGTTTCCACTGCTCTTGTTACCCTGGTTACCGGGGAGATGGCTTCACCTGCGAAGGTAAGTGCTTGCAGTTAAAAGTAACAAACCTAGATATAAATATAAAATCATTCTTCCTTATTGTTTTGTTCAGTTATAATTTATAAGTTATAACTTATAAGTTATTACTCGGACAGGCACTCCTTTTGATTCGATTTTATTGCACAGTGAACAGTGTAATCTAATGATTTAACGGTTCCATGATTTTAGACATAAACGAATGCGAAGATCCGACACTCGCGTCCCGATGCGTCGCTAATGCCGAGTGCTGCAATTTGCCGGCTAATTTTCTCTGCAAATGCAAGCCCGGGTACAGAGGCGATGGTGAGGTACACTGCGAGGATATTGATGAGTGTCAACTTCCACACTCTTGTGGAGAAAATTCACTTTGTCATAATGTACCTGGTAATTTTACGTGCACATGTCCGCAAGGTTTTACGGGGAATCCCTACGAAAATGTTAGTAATTTTTTATATTCAGGTTTTATTGCTGTTACCATTAAAAAAAAAAAAAATTAAATTAAATTTTAGGAAATTTATTAATTTATTAAAAAAAATTTTTGTTAAATTTCAATCAGTATTAATTAAGTATGAAAATTTTTTTAGATAAAACAAATTTTAAGTGATACTGAATTGACATCTAACAATTTTAAAAATTTTTATAATAATTAAATTATAAAAAAAAAATTTTGTGAAAAAATTCAACATGTAGAAATTTAAAGAAAATTATAAGAACGAATTTAAAAAAATATTTTTTTTTATAATACACTAAAAAAAAAAATTAATTTGAATCAAGAAAAAAATTCTTAAACCAAAAAAATAATTTTGAAGAATTTTATCTCTTAAATTAAGACGAAAAATTCTTAAATCAAGTAAAATTTACTCAAACCAAGAAAAATTTTTTAATTTAAGAATTTTTTTACTCAAATAAACAAAATGAATTTCTTCAAAATTATTTACTTGATTTAAGTAAATTTTTTTTTCTGTGTAATTAATTAGTTACAAAAATTTCAAAAATTATCAAATGTCTGCTAATTATAGTATTATAATTTTAAATGACATTGAAGTTGACAGACATTAAAATTTTTTTTATAATTTTATAGGAAATGAAATTATTATGAAAAAAATTTATAATACTATAGTTAGCCGACATTGTTAATTTTTTAATTATTAAATTACAATTAAATAATGTTTTTTAAAAATTGCACTTATAGTTTTTAAAGTTTTTTAAAAATGAACTTTTTTTTTTAATTTTTTTGATGAAAAAAATCTTTAGAATTCTTTTTTATTGAAAAAATTATTACAAAAAAATAAAAAAAAAAAATTTCACTTGTAAAAAACTTCAAAAACTGTAAGTGCAATTTTAAATAAATATTTTTTTGTTCTAATTTAATTATTAAAAAAAAAATCAAAAAATTAAAAACGTCGGCTAACTTTAGTATTATTAATTTTCATCTAATATAGTTACGAATAGTTTGTTTTCTAGTGTATATTTATGAAAATTAAGTTAACCGACATCTAAAAAAATTTAATAAATTTTTTTATTAAAAAATTTATTACAAAAAAATAAGAAAAACAAATTTCATCTGTAAAATATTTGAAAAACTACACGTGCAATTTTTAAAAAATATTTTGTAGTACTAATTAAATGATTAAAAAAATTAAAAAATTAAAAACGTCGGCTAACTTCTGTATCATTGTATAATGTATACTTTCATATTTTTTATCTAAATTATACTTGAGAATCTGAAAATTTTTGAAATTATAAATTATAATAAGAAAAATTTATAAAAATAAAGTTATTAGCTGACATTTAAAAATTATAAAAATTTTTTTATTAAAAAAATTATTGCAAAAAAATTTTTTATTTATTAAAAACTTCAAAAACTATAAGTGCAATTTTAAAAAAATTTTTTTTTAGTTCTAATTTTATAAATTAAGCAAAATAAAAAATCAAAAATGTCGGCTAACTTTATTAATAAGAAAAATTTCTTCTTTAAAAGTTCTAAAAAATTATAAACGCAATTTTAAAAAAATAATTATTATTAATTAATTATTATAAAATTAATTTTATGAATCTGGTTTATTTTTAATGAAAAATATTATTGACGTCTGTTAATTTCAGTGTCATTAAAAAAATAAAAAAAAAACAGCAATAGAACCTCTTCAAAAATTGCAAATTAAAAACAAAAATAAATAAACAAAATATTTCCAGTGTTACGACATAAATGAGTGCGATAATCCAGGAAGTTGCGGGCATAATGCCCACTGCATTAATTTACCGGGTGGCTATCGGTGCGAGTGTCCAGAAGGATTTGAAGGGAATCCTGAGGATCACTGCCACGACGTTGACGAGTGTGTTCGAAGTCCATGTGGTCGATCAGCCTTGTGTACGAACGTCGACGGGGGTTTCAAGTGTCACTGTCCTGATGGCATGGACGGTGATCCATTCACTGGCTGCAACGGTAATATAAATAATGATTACAATCAATCGCATTATTTAATGATTATTCGGGCTGGTTGTCAATTTAAAATTTGTCAGGGTTAATTACATGCATTTAACCTAGCTGTACTTACTGTATGCCATTCAAAACCGTTGATAAATTTAATGCTTTTTTTACAAGCTTTAATTAACGTAACAAATGTTTCTTACTTGCATTAACCGAACAGATATCAACGAGTGCGAGTCGAACGACTTGTGCGGTAAGGACTCGAGCTGTGTAAACACTCCTGGAGGATTTGAATGCCAATGTCTTTCTGGATATCAAAGAGATCCAATTCTAGGTTGCACTGATATTAATGAGTGCCTGCGTGACAATGCTTGTGCACCAAACGCAAAGTGTATTAATATTTATGGATCGTATACATGTGTGTGCCCTCAAGGTTTCACGGGACACGGACTCATTTTATGCGAGAGTCAGTAACATCATTATTATCATTTATCATTATCGTTATCATTATTATACACGGAAAAAAAATTAACTTGTGTAAAGTAGCCAGTAGTTGAACAGGTTTCGAAGTAAAATTTATTTGACCCGAATTTTAATATATAGAGAAGTAATTATTAGTTCAAATTAGTGATTTTCATGAAATTATAAATGATTTTGAATTGATTAGCAAAATAACAAAGATTTTTAAAAACGTCAATATTTAATAAAGTACAGTGCAATTTAATATAATTAAGAAATGACCTTGTATCTTGTGAACTATTGACATTTTTAAAGATATAAGCTCATCCCGATGTTACACTTATCGAGACCTTTCATTTAAGTACCCACATCAATTTTTCATATATTTTATATATTTATATATTTCACATATATCAATATATAATATATAAAATATCAAAAATGCCATGTAGGTACTTAAATGAAAGGTCTCGATGAGTGTAACATCAGGATGAGCTTATAT